ACACACACACACACACACACACACACACACACACACACACACACACACACACACACACACACGCACGCACGCACGCACAGACAGACAGACAGACACACAGTGATGTGTGACGTCACAACACCGCTTGGCAACGCAAATGCTGTGACACGACAATTGGCCAAGACTTGGACCAATCCACACGCTGCCGCTTGTATTTTCGATGCGTCCTCTGCAAAATTTTGCGCGCAACAACCAAAACAAGAAGAACCAAGGCGCACACGCGACTGCTCCGCCCTTCTTGCTTGCTTGCTTCTTGTTTTCCCCCCTTTTCTTCCTTTTCTTCCTCTTCTTGCCGTGTGATTCCGCACCATTGCAGTGCCTCTCATTTCAAAACAACCTGCTTGCCTGCCACCCAGCCTGTTGTTACTTGCCTGCGATCTTCGCCGGAGTGAGTGCGCCTGTCTGTACGTGCGCGTGTGTGTACGTGTGCGTGCGCGTGCCTTTCCCCACCCGCGCCGCCACCTCGGTGCTCATAATCCATCCCCCCGTCGTCTGAAGGTGAGCCACACAACACACACACACACACACACACACACACACACACACACACACACACACACACAAAGCCGAAGGTAGATAGGCCGAGAGAGGCACGCGCAACACACACTTGCAGCACATGCAGCACATGCAGCACATGCAGCACATGCACATGTTTGACACTGCCAAATTACATCTCGTTCTCATCATCATCATCCCCATCGCTACCTCAGCAGGCCTGAAGACGTCCACTTTGGCCCGGCTCGCGTCACAAACCACGAAGGTGCGTATTGCCATACATCGCCACCAACGCCACCAATATTGTCAGGGTTTGTGGCGCGAAGTGTGCGAATACACCCAACCGCCCACCCAACCCTGTTTTGCGAAACCTTCGCGCGCTCTTGCGACATGTGCGTTTCAACGCGTTGGGTGACGTGCCGCGTGTTCGTCAGCTTTTCTTGCCCCCACCAACGACGTTTCACTGGCAAAACCGTTGGCCGCTGTGCTTGTTGTTTGCACTGCCACCACACACACAGCAGACTTCTTGCTCTTCTGTTTCTTGGTTCCTTTCCGTTCCTTCCTTCCTTTCCTTCTTCCCCACAACGTCATCCGATATGACACAAACACACACACATGCACACACACACGCACACGCATGCAAATGCATCCACTTGGTTTGACCCAACACCACCCAAACCCACTTGCTGGATGTTGAAGGGTGTCAGGGTTTGCCAACCATCTAGTGTGTTGATATGTGGTTGCTTTTCCTTCCTTCTTCTCTTATGACCTTTCATCACGCCGTTGCTCGATGATGTGGATGATGATCACACACGCAAACACACACACACACATGCACACACATGCACATGCGCACACGCTCCACTGCCACATGCACTGAAACATCCGTCATGCAATGTGTGCGTGCTGTGCTGTGTGTGTGTGTGTACGTGCTGTGTAGTTTAAGTTGCATCTTGCATCGACCGTTTTCTTTTTCTCATCATCGTTGCGTGCCCCGCATGCACTCGCGTGTGTGTGTGATCATCACCCTTGTTGGTGTCGTTGTGTTGTGCCGCCATTCTCATGTCAATCAGCAGCAGGCACACACATACACACATCACCTCGTCTCTCTGCTGATATCGAGATCCGCCCGCCGCGTCTCCGTCTGCTTCATTTTCCAAGCCAGCGCGCCATTTATCCATCTGGCCTCGACTCCCATCAGCCATCTCTGTGCCGCACCACTGCGAGTGTCCAACCCATATCAAGCCCCCATCTCGCGTCTCGGAATCGCCCACTTGCGTCAGTTAGCCGCCTGGATAGCTCAACCCAACCCACAACCCACGACCGCAACCACAACCGCAACCACAACCACAAGTTCCATACCACCACTCAACCCGACTCAACCACCACGCAAACAAGCACAGCACCGCTCCATCAAGATCATCACCTCCATCGCAGCTGACGAACCCAAAATTTCAGCACTCGCTGCCCCAACAACACTCCCACGTATCAGCACAACCGTTGCTGTCGGTTGTGACCGTTGCCGGACTGACTGAAGTGTGCGGCAACACCCTGCCAAAGGGTTTCTGTATTTTCGACCCCCGTGTCCGTTGCCGCGTACGCGCTCACGAGTGCGCTCGCAACGCTTGCGAGCCGCCACACACCGGCACGTCTCATTTTTTCCCCTCCAGCTCGCTCGCTCCTCTTCCTCATTCCACAACAACCACAACCACACCGCCTCCAACAAACACCAACCACCTGACACGACACAGCAACTCCAGCTAACCTCAGCGCAGCATCGTCGGTTTGACCATTTTCACCAACACCAACCCTCAAAACACAAGCCAGATCAAACGAGCGCTCACGCAGCACGAGCGGGTGCGCACCAATCTCCATCCACACCAGCAGCACATCCGTCACGGACCAAACCAGCAGCAACAGCAACAGCGCCATGTCCAGCACAACGGCAGCGGCCACGGCGGCGGCCGCCACTTCTTCGGACACCGACGACCTCACCGCCCTCGACTGGCTCACCACCATCACCATCAAGTGCCCCTCTGTTGAGACAGATGCACCCGCAACGCCAGCGGCATCGCACCGGGGCCTTCACGCGTCTCTGCTGTGCAAGGGCGCTGGCACAACAGCAGCGTCAAGCGCGGCGTCTGCGGGCAGCAGCACCGGCCACGATGGCGAACACAGCGGCAACGCAACGTCCTCCGCAGCTGACGCGCCAACGCATATGCCGCCGTCCCTCCTTGCCTGGCTCACACAGTGCGGCGCGGCAGCCTCAGCGTCCACTGCATCCAACACACCATCCACGGCAACAGGCAAGGCGGCAGCGACCACCAAAGCAGGCACACGCGGCAGCTCCAAATCCTCCTCATCCTCATCGTCGTCGTCATCGTCGTCGTCATCGTCGTCATCGTCATCACAGCGCCGGAGCGCACGCGCGTCCCGCCAACTGGCCAACCTCATTGCGCACACGCTCTCTGAGGTGCAGGAGACGAAGCCAACCGGCCTCACCTCTCTGCAGATTGTTAAGGCCATTGTCGCCGAGCACCCTTTCCTCACCAAGCAGCAGCAGGCAGCCCTCAAGGTGTGTGTGTGTGCATGTGTGTGTGTGTGTGCGTGCGTGTGTTGTGCTGTGTGTGTGCGTGTTGTGCTGCGTGTGTGCGTGCGTGCGTGTGTTGTGTTGTGCTGTGTTGTGTGGTGTGTGTGCTGTCAAAGTTCCTTGCTGCACCATTGTTTCCCTCCCTCACCACGTCCCGTACCACGTCCCTCCACCCGCATTTTCGCAGACGCTTGTGCGGCAGGAGCTGTTGAACAACGCCCGCTTCCGCCGCGCGCGCAAGGGGAAGACCGACAAGCCGTCTTGCAACGCGTGCTGGATTGTCGTGTCGACTTCATCGACAGCATCGGCACGCAAGTCCAAATCGTCAGCTCGCTCATCGAACAGCGGCACTGGCACTGCTGGTGCTGGTGCGCTGAAGCTCAAGATCAAGACGGAGGAGCTCTCGTCGTCACGGGCCTCTCGCCGCACCAGCAAGCGGCGCCACACATGCACAAGCGATGACAGTGATGACGACGTCAGCAGCAGCAGCAGCAGCAGCAACAGCAGCAGCAGCAGCAGCACACACGCGCACGCGGGCAAGCACAAGCACAAGCATTCGAGCAGCCGCAAGTCGCTGCAGTACAGCAACAGCCAGACACCAGGGCACCTGCCACGCACGCGGCCAAGCTCCGATGTCTTCAAGCACGGCTGGGAGTTTCTGCTCGACTTTGACTCTCCGCTCGACACCACAGCAACAGCCGCACAGGGCAGCATGTGTGCCAGCTGCAGCGCACACACGCGCGGCAGTGGCAGTGGCGCAGCTGTTGATCTGCGCGGGCGTGTTGGTGGCATGGTGATGGCCGCAGACACACCGTTCCCATCGTCATCGTCGCCAGCAACGTCACTGTGCACGTGTGGACAGCCTGCAACCAAGCGCAGCAAGCGCTCGCGAACACGCACACGAGGCCCGCACCACCGCCCTGACCACATTGACGATCACGACGTGGTGCAGTGGTCGTCAGCGTCAACCGGCAGCACTGGCGGCCTCTCTGATTGCGACAACGAGGGCTCCTCCCCGCTCGCACCAGCACCGTCCACCACGTCCCTTGCCTCGTCCACTTCCTTTACACATCACCACCAACAGCACCATCGCGCGTCCTCGTCATCATCGTCGTCGTCGTCGTCGTCGACTTCGTCACCATCCCTCTCCGTGGATGCCCTTGACGCGTGGGTGCTTGGGGAACACATGTTGGAGACAGAGCTTCACATGGAGCTACCGCCCACCCCTACGTTCGGTGTCCCCGGTGCACACGGCGCAGCCTTCCACGGCCACGGCCACGGCAGCCGTCGCAACAGTCACCACGACACCTACCAGCAGCATCAGATGCAGCAGGGTTCACCACACCAGCAGTACCAGCAGCACGCGAACAGCCGGCCAGGCTGCTACACCAACACGCCATCGTCGCACAGCACGAGCAAGGCTTATGGCAGCGGCGGCTACGGCGGCATTGTTTTGAAGCCGCTGCCTCTGAACACGGTTGCGTCTGCCCCAACCAACTTGCGCGCGTTTGCAAAGGACCAGGAGGAGCAGCCGCTGTTCACGCCCACATTCAAGAAGACAGATGCAGCCGGCAGGCGCCAATACAGCAACAGCAGCACGCGTACCACAAGCACGCGCAGCAGCGGCGGCAACGACAGCGATGACAGCGATGGCGCCGCGCCATTTGTGAGCTCGTTTACGTTTGCCCTTGAGGAGCATGAGCGAAACAACACGTCGCACCGTGGTGACCACCGCACTGCCAGCGCTGCTGACGCAAAGGATGTCCATGTCAATGTCGATGTCGATGATGATGATGCTGATGATCATGCACTGAGTGCACACAGCTCGTCATCTCGTTCGCACGCACGCAGCACGCGTCACCGCACAGCAGCCCACCACCAGCACCACCAGCACCACAGCGTGTTGGATGACCTGGACATTGATCTCCCGTTTGGGGATCTCGGCAACTCGTTCACAGCGACCAGCCTACGCCTGCTGACGAGCGCCATGTGAGGACGACGCGTTGGCGATGTGATGCCGTCGCCGCCGCTGTTCTTCCTTGGAGGACGTGGCTACTGTTACAAGATCATTGGTTGTTGGTTGTCGTTGGTTGGTCGTTGATGGTTGTTGATTATTGGTTGATGGTTGTTGGTTGTTGTCGTCGCCTTCTCCACTACCCTCCTGTGCGGTCCATTGCATCATACCCGATCCACAACAGCAGGCTGTGCCTCATCGTGGCTTGGCCCAATGCACACACACACACGCACGCACACAAACACACACAAACACACTTGTCTATCCTCGCTTCTTGAAGGTGCTTGTGGGTTGGTGACATTTGATTTGCCATTGACATGTCTCAATCACATTGCATGTACATCTCCCAGCTTCCCCCTTTCCTTCTGTGTTTTCTTCAACTCGCGTTAGCCCTCTCTTATTGCCAACCCCAACATATTTGACATATCACGCTTCCCTGACCGCCTGTCCCTAGACGCGGGCGCTCTTTGTGTTATTGCGTACACGGGGCGCACGCGTGGTGTTTATCAACGTATCAACGCTGCGTGTGCTTAGCTTCGCCTTTTTTGCAGGCCGCGTTCTTGCTGGTATGCCTGCTGCCTGTTAAGTGGCTTGATGCCACCCCCTCCCCTCCTTAACGCTTTGAGCGTCACGCTCACCCAGACGTCGTCGCTTTGTTCATTGCGGCTGGTCGTTCGTTTGTCACCTTCACCCCGCGGCCTTGTTTGCTGTCTGCGTGTTTGGTGCACCTTTACTAGCTTTCCTCCTTTATTGCACATGCACATAACTTTCCTGGGTTGCAAATGCGTCTGCATGGGTGTTGTTGTCATTCTGTTGACGTCACGCCACTGGTTTTACGGGCGCATTGCTCCTGCTTTCCTGCTCCTAACACGCGTTCACCACCATGGTCATGGTGCAATATCAGAATCACCGTTCCCAATACACAGGCATTGGTTTCATTCAACGAGAGAACTGAGGAAAAGAGAGAAGGGGGGGGGGAGGAAAAGGAGGGAAATGGAGGTGAAAGGAGGAGGGAAGGATGTGGAGCACAGGGAACAGACTCAAAGTGTGCACGTGCAGACAGACAGACAGACAGGCTGACAGACAGGCAGACAGACACGATACACACATACACGAGAGAGAGAGAGAGAGCACGCGTGCTAGATCCTGAGGGAGGCGAGCTCCTTCTCGATGTCGCCCTTTGTTTGGAGCTTCTGCAGCTGATCGGCATCCAGGGCCTCCCCACCGGCCTTTCGCTCCTGCCACGTGCCGATATGCAGCAGCACAGTGTGTGGTTTGAGGGGGGGGGGTAAGAGGATGGAAGATGGCAGAGGCAAGGGCGTGCGTGGGCAAGAAGAGAGGGAGGAATGATTGTCACGCAATGGGAAGCTGGTGGCACGGTGGGCAGTCGGACTCGAATTGAAAGGTTCACATACAACCAGACAGACAGGCAGACAGACAGACAGACAGGCAAGCAGGCAGGCAGACGGACGGACACAGGCACACACACACACACACACACACACACACACACACACACACACACACACACAAGAAAAAGAGACGCACCTCCAGCCGCTCGATCTCGCGGAGCTTCTTTGTGAGCTTCCGGTGAACCTTCGCCAGATCCTGTTCAGACGAAACAGCAAGTAGAGCACAATCATGTACATGAGAGGGACGGATGACCGAGTCGCGGAGTCGCCATTGAACACGCACACACACACACACGCGCGCGCGCATAGACACACACACAGACAGACAGACACAGACACAGACACAGACACAGACACAGACGCACACACATACGTGTACCTGCTTGGGTTCCTCGGGTTTCTTTGGTGCCGTCGAGGACGATGAAGCGGCTTCGCCTTCAGCTTTCTTTGCCTTGGACTTTTTCTTCTTCTGCAAGGCACAACAGGGGCAAAAAGAGGAAGGCGCAGATTCAGCTTTGAGAGATGCATGCGAGAGCACGGACAGCACGATGATGACGATGATGATGATTATGGCGGCAGCAGCCCAGTTGCGTGCGAGGTGGGAAACGCATGTACCTTCTTGTCGGTGGGCTTGTTCAGGGGCTGGAAGCCGACAACGCCCATCTCCTCACGCTCGCGCACAAACCTGCGTCAACAACGAAGGTTGGGGTGAATGTAATGCTCTGAATAGCAGCAGAGAGAGAGAGACAAACAGAGGCAGACGGCGCCAACGCCACCAAAGCACACACACACACGCACGCACACACATACATACTTGCGGCCTGAGCTCTCGTACACCTCCCGCTCCTCAGGTGGGATGTATCCCGGCCTGGGTGGGAACAAACAGAGACAATGGTGACGAAAAGAGGTGAGAGTCTATCGAGATGAAACTGCTAAGCACACACGCACACACACGCCCAAACACAAGTGTACGCACATGTTCACAGACACACACAGACACAGACACACAGACACACAGACACACACACAG